CTAGGAATTCACTCGGTCACTGGAGAGTTAATGATGTGGTGGAGTCTGCCTGCCTCCTTAGAAACGCAAACAGTCCGTGAACCCTGCCTATAGGGACTGGAGGGAGGGTGGAGCCCCCGGCCCCAGCCCCAAGCCTGCGGCATGCCTTCTGTGCATGGTGATGGGCATGACTTCCGTCTCGTGGATGAGCATCCCGTGCTCAGAGAGCGAAGGGTAGGTCTGAGTCTGGGCCCAGCTGCCTCTGGAGACCCTGCCCTGACGTCCAGCTTGCCACCCTCTGTGTCGGGATGGTCCTCCTTTCAGGGCAGGAGGGGTCCTGCTGGCCCCGTGCGGGATGCGGAAGACAGGCCGAGGACATGACAGGCGGAGGACTCCCCTGGGGGATGGGGGTGGGAGGGGGACAGGGGGTTGTGGGCAGGAGGCCGTCCGATTCCTAGTTGTTTGTGACCAACATCCTGACAACCAGTGGGTCTTTTCTGCAGGGACCCCAGAGACAAGGAGGGCTCACAGCCAAAACCTCCCTCATCTCCCCTGCCCCACTAGCATCCAGCCCTGGTACTTGGCCCTTGAGCGTAAGATAATTAGGCAGAGGCTCAAGAAACCAGGCCACGGGGTGGGAGTGGGGGCAGGAAGTAATGAAACACTCCCTTCTCACTGGTCTCCCAAACACTGTCCCTCAGCCCCTCACTGGCCCCAGCAGGGTGTTTTTTGACCTCATGAGAGATTGAGAAAAAGTTGATCTGGCACAAACCCAGGCTTAAAATCTGCAGTATTGGGGGGGAGGGGAAGTCTCTGTGCCACGTCCAGTACCCATCACAGTCCCTCCAAGGTCACAGTCCCCTCCAAGGTCACCTGACAGGTAATACTGTTGACTCAGGGAGCCACACCAATGAGGCCTTTGGTCCAGGAAGTCCTGAGCACTTCCTAAGGGGACTACCTGAGTTTCCCAGCTGGTCAGGGACTGGAGCAGAGTCCCGCCCAGACCCCTCGGGCTCCAGACACCAGGGCGCCCCCACCCCAGTCAGTCCCAGGGGGACAGACTCTGAATCCAGACCCCTTCTTCCTTTACCATCTACACCAGGAGCGGTCTGGTAAACAAGCTCAGAATGATCTGGAAAGGCTATTCCTGTTTATCCAGCTTGGCAGGCGTCGAATATCAACTACCCCCCCCCGCCCCCTCCACCGAGCTATGCTTTGGTGCTCCCCCGCTGCTGTGAGCGCAGCAGCCTGGACCCCGTCTTCCGAGCACCTGGGCCCAGCTGAGCTGTGGTCTGACACAGACGTTCCAGCCTCCTGGGGGGGCGCAGACGGTGGGTATGGGCTCTGCTCCCGCCCTGGGGACCCTGAGCCCCCTCCTGCCCGATGCTGGTAGCAACCTCCTGTTGGTCAGTGGGACGCTCACCTAGCCCTGCCCATCTGCGCCCCCAGCACCGCTGGGCTTCTCCAGCGTCCAGCTCTCCGTGGTCCTGCCCCCTCCACTCTATCCCCTGGACAAAGCTGAACCCTTGCTGAGGAGGCCACCAGCCCCCCAGCCGAAGGCTGCGAGCAGGAGCTTCGCGTGCTCAAAATTCACTAAACTGAATGTTCTATATAGATGGAAGAAACTACATACCACACGAGTGAGAACAGTGATTAACAGTGATTAAAACAAACGCAAATGGATCCCACCACCTAGTTTAAGAAATGGCCAAAAAAAAAAAAAAAAGAAATGGCCAGTGGCTCTTTCTCAGCCTGGACGGGCGGAGGCAGCTCTTGCCCAGGATGGGACCTGGACTCGCCTGGTGCCCGCCGGCGCCTCCCATCACCTCTCTGCCCCTCTGCCTGGCTTCCGGGGCTATTTTGGTTGTGTACCCGTCGGGGTTAATCTCCTTAAGCAAGGAGCCGTGCTGCCCAGGGCTCTCGGCAAAGGGCAGCCTGAGGGCTGGTGCCGCCCTGCTCCCCCACATCCCCCCTCGGGGGCACCGCGGATGCTGGGGGGGACTGAGTCTGGAGGTGGGGGGCTGTGGGGGCTGTGGGGGCAGTGACCAAGGGGGCTCGGAGGCTCACGGGGGCCTCCGGGTGGTTCTGGACTTTACCCCAAGGGGGAGCCCACCGAGGTCTCCTCCAGGCCAGCTGAGCTGCCCGCTCCTGGCTGAGCGCAGGTGCTAATCCTGGCCCTGCCACGTGGGGGGGCGGGGGGCAGGCGGGAGGTCCCCTCCCCCTCGGGAAGGAAAGAGAGCAAGCAGCTGACCGGGTGGATCCGGTTCCCGAAACCTGAGCCGGGACTAGGGTTTCACTGAACACTTGGCCGCACACCTGCCGGCTGCCTCCCACCTGGGCAGGAGGACAGGGCGACACCCCCCACCCTGCCTTTAAGGGAGGGGGGGCCTGCTGACCCCTGCTCTCCAGACAGAGCTAGCCTGTCCTTCAGACCCACAGGAGCTGCACGAGATGGCAGACTCAGCAACAAAGTGGCTGGAGGACAGCATGGGCTGGGATCAGGTGGGCACACATGGAATTGGAGCACTCAGATCAGACGAGGGGCCGGACCCTGCCGCGGGCGGGGGACATCAGGGAAGACTCCCTGGAGGCAGTGGTGCCTGAGACCCAAGGACAGATGACAGCTGATCCGGAGGAAGCAGGCGGTGTGGGAGAAGCAGAGCAAGGTCTCTGCCACATCCTAGACCCACCCCGCACGATAGCCAGCGTACGGAAATTGGGGGCCCTGTCCCAGGAAGCGCCGGAGCTCAGGATGCAGGCTGGGCCCGCCTTCCGCTCTTGGTCTCTGTCTATTAAAAAAAAAGAATGGCCAACATACTATGGAAATCTCAACACACCCATAGAAGCAGAGAGGTGAGCACGACGGTCACCCGCAGTCACCACCAGCTCCCGCACGCACACCTGTCCACCAGCGGACACTCTGCCCGATCCCCTCGCCACAGGACTTGAAACAAGTTCCCCGATCCTAGCAGGTTTTTTCCCGTAGGTATTTTGTATTCCCATCTGGAAGACAAGCATCCTTTAACAAGTATGCCCACACCCTCAACACTGTCATCAGGTCAGTTGCAGTCGGCGCCTTACTCTCTCCTCCAGAGGCACCCCCAGCCCCGCCCTGCCTCCCGGTCACCAGTCCCCTGACCCTCTGGCCAGCTCCCCAGCTCCAAGGCCCGTTGACCCGGGAGGCTGACCAGGTCAGAGCCGCCGGTTACTGCACATCCACGGCCCCCCAGCTCGCTAAGTGCTCTGCGTGCCTCGGTCCCTCTGGCTTAACACCGGCCCAGGAGCAGGACCAACTGGTCATGCTGGCCCCTATGGCGGGGATGAGGAGACCGAGGCAGGTCCCAGTGAGGGACGCCGGTCCTCAGACCGGGTATTTCAAAGCCGCGTTTATACCAGGCTCCTGTTTGGCTAAGGGTGCTGACCAAGCTGTGTCCCAGGTTCCTGCCCATGCTCCCACCCCCGGGAGCCTGACCTAGAGAAGACACTGGGGGCCTGAGGGCCTCTCCTCAAGGGAAACGGCCCAGGGCACCTCCCCCAACCAGGCCCCACCGCGTCCCCCGACTCAGGCTCTGCCTGTGAGACGAGTATCCACCTGGTGCCAACGGCCAGCCAGGGGGCAGCTCCCACTGGAGGAACTTCCAGGTGTGTGGGAGCCCTTCCCGGCTCTGCGGCCTGAATGCCTTGCTTCGGATCAGGACTGTTTTGTGCTGCTGGGGATCTTTGCAGCTGTGGGCTCAGAGCTCCGGGCCTGGGAGCAAGGGGCCCAGTGGGGCCTTGACAGCGGCGCCAGTGCCGGGGGCACCTCACTTCCCTCCTGTGGGTCCCGACAGCCCCTAGAGGCACAGCCCCTGCAGCATGCCCCCCTCCCCCCTCCCCCTGCTGCCTCTCTCTTCCAGGTTTTAGCATTTACCCAGCACCACAGAGCCGGGCCTTGCCCCAGGATAAGAAGCTCCTGGCTCCCCTCAGTCTCCCCGACTTTAAACTGAGGTATAACTGCCCTAAGATGCTATTGCTTTGCTAGTTCCTGATGCCCAGCATATGATTTGATATTTCTGCACGATACAGAACAGCTCCCGCCCTCCCAGTGTCTTGGCGAAGCTTTGCACTCAGGCCAGGGGGCAGGCAGGGCAGAGATGGGGCCCCCGCTCCCCACCCTCAGGGGGCCACGCGTGCCCCACCACGGGCTCCATGGCTGCTGTCCCAACTGGGCGGGCCCCTCAGCACACGGCGCACGAAGCGGTGGCCAGTGGTCGCTGAGCAGGAGGGCCGAGCACAGCGGGACGGTCTCCCACCAAACACTCCTGACCCAGACGAAGTCGCCCTCCGGCGAGGCCAGGCTATTTCGTCCTAAGAAAGCCCCCCTGTGATCATAGCAGAGACCCAGGAAAGCAGAACACCGCTCTGCGGAAGCTGACCCGAAGCGGTGGATGTGCTCAACAGTGACCCCTGCCCTCTTCCGTCCCCTCCCGGCAGCTGAACACCCAGAGGCTGGGAAACAGCTCATCCTGCAGCCAAGTGGCCTGACCCCCTAAAGGCGGGCTGCTCCCTCCAGATGCCCGTCCAGAAAGCACACACTCCATACCCCTGGGACTGAGATGGAAGCCGTGGGTGGAGGCACAGAGCCTGCCCTGGGGAGCCCAGCTGACCCGTTGCCTCACATGGTCCACAGGCCGCGAGGCGGCCAGGGGGCTGGAAAGTGAGCCTTGGTCCACCAAGAGGGGCTGGCAGGAGCCTGTCCAGGGTGGGAGGAATGGGAGGAAAAAGCCAGGTGTGCAGAGCCGGGAGAAGGCAGCTGACAGAGCCCACCGAAGGGCGCCTCCGCTCCCAGGCAGCTCGCAGCCGCATGTGATACATGGTGCTGGTCCCAACACACCCGGCCTCTGCTCCACGAGACAGCAAAGAGGGGTGCAGGGGATGACAGTGCCCTGCCAACAGGAACTCTGCTTCTCAGGAAAGCACGTTCCCATCGCAGCATCGCGGCCCCTCCCCCGCCCCTCCCCCCCAGCTCCCTCCCCACTCACATCCATGGACGCCTCCCTCTGGATGAGCTTCTTGGTCTCCTTCTCACAGAAGTTGAGCATGGCCTCCCGGTTGTATGCGCCTGTGGACGGCTTCTCAGTCTGGTTCCTCTGGCGCAGGCCCAGGGGGACGCTCCCATCGGGGTCCACCACGTCCAGCTCCTTCTCCAGCTCCTCCATCTCCTCAGGCGACAGGGTGGACAGCAGGCTGTCGATGTCGGGGTCTTCGCTCACCTGCCGGCGATACTTGGCCACCTTGGACATCTTGGTGAAGTGGGCCGCCGCTCTTGTGGGGCTGCAGGGTCTGGGTGGCGGGGACGGGCGCGCCGGTGTGGCTGCAGCAGACCCTGCTGGTCCGGGCCGCGGCTCCCCCACCCTGCCTGCGCAGGTGCCCAAGTGTGGTCTGGGAGCTGCAGCCTCCGGAGCCCAGGGCTAGTGGACCCGGGCTTATCCTGCCAGCGGCCAATGAGGCCCCACGACGGCCCGGCCCCGGGAGGAGCAGCCAATCCCCGAGTGGGGGCCGGCCTCCTCGCCGTCAGAGCTGTTTGAAACTTGAGGACATTCCAGGGAATCTTGGAGCGCTGTGTGACCAAATTTAGTACAGAGCATTTAGCCTTTTAAAGACAAGGGGGCCACGCAATGAGAAAAAGATTCAAAAATGTGGAGGCTGGCAGGAGCAGACCAGAGCCACAGAGAGCCAGGAAAGCGGGCAGGACGCGGGCTTCCCGAACGGCCGGCGAGGCCTGTCCTGTTCAGTGCACGCGTGGCGCCCCGCCAGGGTGGACGGCACTGTGGTCAGCGCGTGGTCCGCGGCCTTCTTTCTACTGTATTTGGTAATGTGCTGGGGACTCCCCAGCTCTGCAACCCCAGGAAAGGGACACGACTCCAGAAGCTCCGAGCCACCCCGCCCACCCACTCTTCTCTGCCCAGGAGCCTGTGGGCCTGGCATCAGTATCGAGACTCCAGGCTGCCCGGGGCCACTTCCTGAGAGAGAGGGACGAAGAAAGTCCTCTCTGTGTTCCCAGATGGGAAACAGCAGCGTTTGGGGGAGAAAGTGGGACGTGCAGGGGTCAGGGAACTCTGAAGGGCTGCCGGCCTCCAGAAGCCTGAGGAGGAGGGCTCCAACCTCCCTCGCTGGTCCGCCCCTTCTTCTGCTGGAGCATCTCCTGTGTGGGCGTCGGGAGGAGCCCCAGGCCCCCAGCACATAGGAATCCGGAGCACGACTCGGGTGCGGTGTGTCTTCAGGGAAAGTCAACTCTGGCCATTAGGAGGGATGCTATTGCAATGGTCTGGCAGCTTTCGTTCAAGTTCTTCCACTGTGCGTCCATCTTGCCGTCCTGCACAAGGCACAGGGACATTCAATCTCCCGTCACAAAGTCCTCTAGAAGCCCCAGTGTCACCCATCGCGTGGTGGCTTCCATCTTCCCTGGTGATGTTCCATCCTAAGCCAGAGAGAGACAGCTACACGTCGGCACTTACTGAGTCCAGGGACCAGCTGGGAGGAAAACTGGCCTTGGCATTGAGCGCCCGCTAGTCTCACTTCAGGATGAGGCTGGTGGGGGAGTGGGCTGGCTGATGGGACAGGAGTGCACAGGCAAGAGGGGTGGGGGAGCAGGGGCTGGGGGGCCCCAGGGCTGCTTCTTTTCAGAACACGTGCTGATGAGTGCTGACCACGCGACAGGGCCGGGGTCTAACAGTGAGGAATGTGACTAAAGACAGAAGATCAGTGTGTCCCTGCCTTCCTGGAGCCTCCAGTCTAGCGGTGAAGACAGTTAACAGACAAATACTTTCAAATAATTTATTAAAAAAAACAGAGAGCTCACAGAATGTCTCAGAAGAGGGGTGCAGGGGCAGCAGGAACATAGCAGAGAGGCTGGTTTCACGGTTCACACTCAGGCTCCTGGGGCGGCTGACCTGGCCCCCTAGGTCCTAGGCCTGCTGCTCACCCCACACCGGGTTCTGGCCAGCCACCTCCTCCTCTAAGATCCAGCTCCATCATCTGTCAAATAAGGACAGCCCTGTGCCAGCCTTGGAGGGTGGCTGTGGGTGTCAGATGTGAGGCCTGCGGCTAATACAGCTGACGGGCGGTGAGCACGCAGTCACCGGCTGCAGGTGTCAGGATCACGCACATTTACTTCCCGGTCTGGGTTCTGTTCTCCATATCCCACCTCCTCTCTCATCCTTGTCTTTCCGACCTTCAGCGAAAACTACCCTCAACACACATGCATGCACGAATGCGTGCATACATGCACGTGCACGCATGTGTGTACACACTCATCGTTTCACCTGGTTCTCATCATTCACTTATTCATTCATTCAAGGCTGGTCTGTTTATATCCCTCTCCTTCCCACCCACCCCCCCTCACTGACCAGGCCCTATAGAGAGATACGAGAATAATTACAGTGCGGTCATTCGCTTTCAAATGTAAAATCCATTGAGGTAAAAAACCCCTACCTGTGCTATAAGGGAAAGTACTAATAAAACAGGAGCAGGGAAGCAAGTGCCCAGAGCTCCAGGGAGACACACTGATCTTGTGGGGAGTCAGGCAGCCCTCAGTGGGCACACCGAGGCCCTGGGCTGGCCTGGGGGGCTCCGGGGGCCGTGAGGTCAGAAATGTCTCTCGCTCCCACTCCCCAACTATCTGTCTGGGCCTCTCTCCCACCCAGAAGAGGTGCCGTCTTCTGTGACCCCAGCTCTGGTGCCATCCCAGCCAGCTTCTTGATGGGGCAGGTGAAAGCAGCTCTGTCCAGCCCCGAAGCACACTTCCTTCTGAGGCAGGGTCATCTGGGACCAGGCTACCTGGTTTCAGCAGTCGTCTCTTCCTCCGGGTTCTAAACACAAAATACAAAGCAGAGCTTCCACACTTGCAGGGCAGGACTCACGGCCTCCTAACCAGAGTGAGGGGGTTATGGGATGGCTTAGCCCACAGAGAAAACCCAGCACTACTGTGCCAGAGGGAGGAAAGGCCCGGGACCCCAAACTCTGCCCAAAAGGTGTGGTACATGTGGCAGACAGGGAACTAGAAGCAATTAACTAATGCTTAGAGTGGCTCTCAGCTGGACTGAGTAACCCCAGGAAAGTCACATTTTCAGGACTATAGGGTGGCAGTATAGTGTGGCAGATAAGGCCATGGGCTCCAGAGTCGAATGACATAGACTCAAATCTGAGATGTGTGCCCTCGAGTGAGTTATTTACCCTTTATGAGCTTCAGGAAATGGAAAACAAGGATCCTAGAAGTACCTGGAGAAAGAAGAATACTTACTGTAAGCATTATGGAGTTATTAAAGATATCAAATACAATGACGCACACCAAGTAAGCAGCAGGGTGGCAGACACTGTGAGCACTTGGTCTGTGCGGACTCAGTTTACGGCCATCCCAGCTTTCTCCTCTTGGGGAGGTGGGAAGTTCCTCTGGAGAAGCAGACTGTCTCTGAAGCCAGCCACTGGCCTGGCCCACACTCCTGGGAGGAGCGGAACTGGGCAGAGGAGAGCTCCAAGACAGAGCACAGACACACATCTTCCTGAAAAGAGGGTGGGGGAAGGGAGAGAGGGCAGAAAAGAGCCCGCCTCCCCTCCCCCACCCTGGCCCAGCCTAAACCCCCATCAGGCCCCAGTCATAGACTAGAGCCCCAGACCCAGAGCCAGAGGTGGTGCCAGCCTCACTCATCCACAGCCATCAGGCCAGGTGGGGCTGGGGGCGGCGACCTCCTGCTGGGTGGAGCTCTTGAGGCCCCCAAGCCTCTGGCTCAGTGGAGCCCAACCCACTGGGGAGCAGGACCCTCTAGGGGGATGTGGGTTCTGAAAAAGTGCATCCCTCCACAGGTGTGAGTGTGCAGAAGGCTTCTACCTTGCATCCTCCACCCAAGATGCTGTCAGCCTGAGAGCTCACTGTCTACAGGAAAGACATTCTGGAGGGAAGTCCCCCAGCTACTTGAATAAAGTAGACACAACTTGAATACATCGCTATTACCCTGGAGGGCAGATAATCTGCTCCAGTGAGGGGAGAGAGAGAGCTGTCCCTTCAGTGTCCTGGAGCGTGAAGACGAGGCAGTCCTGTCTCCAACCTTGTCAAGAGACCTGCTTATAGCAACGGTTTCCAAGGGGTGACCTTCTCATGCTGCGGTGTGTAGAAACCCCCACGTCGAGAGCTCCCACGGGTTACAGCGGCCCAGATTATCACAAACATTTAAGGGACATCCACTGCCTCTCGGCGCTGAGACTGAAAGTACCTTGGCATTGCCTGCCCTCACGGAGCTCCGGGGAGTCGGTGGGGCCTCACCCACCCAGATGACGTAGGCAGCATTAATTCACACTTGACAGACAGGTGCTAGAACAAAGAAACGCGTCCGGGAGTTCGGGGAACCCTAGCGGAGCGACCCGGGTACTTCAGTGATGGGTACCTCTCCGCACCTGGCCCCCTGCCCCGCCCCCGGCACCCTACGCCCCGCCCCGCTGTCCATACGCCCCGCCCTCTGCGCCGGAGCCCCGCCCACGCCCGGAGCCCTGCCCCCTCAGCCCCTACCTCTGCGTCGGAGTCCCGCCCCCTCCCCCACCCGGAGCCCCGCCTTCCGCCCGGAGCCCCGCCTTCCGCCCCGCCGCTCAGTCCCCGGCTCCGATTGGCTGCAGCAGGAGGCGGCGAGCCAATCCTCGCAGAGTCTAACGCCCTCCTCCTGGGATCACTTCCGCCGCGGGGCAGGTCCGGCTCCGTTCGCCCGGCGTCGCGGAGCCGCGGAGTCAAGATGGAGGAGTACGCGCGCGAGCCCTGGTGAGCCTGCCTGCCGCCTGACCCGCTGCCGCCGCCGGCCCCGGATCCCTGGGTCCCCGGGTCGAGGCCGCTCTCAGCCGCGGGCACGGCAGCGCCAGGGGCCGTGGGCACCCGGGCGTTAGCAGCTGGCTGGGGCCACCGGGGCTGCTCCCGTTGACCTTGCGGCTGCTTGAGGACGCCCCGGCTCGGCTGTGCCGCCGCGACCCCTGCCCCGCGGCATGTGGGGAGCATCCCCGCTGCCCGCTGGCGATCCTGGGCTCGTCCTTGCGTCCGCGCGGCTCGCCCTGCGAGGGGAGGCGGCGGTGTCCTGGGAAGGTCCGCGTGGCGCGGCGGCTGCGGTCCAGGCGGTGGGGAAGGGGACCCGGGCGGTGGGGTCGGGGCGGCGCACATGGGAAAACGGGGAGAGTGGAGTGTGCTCCCAAGTCGCCGACAGCGGTCCGTTCGTTCGGCACCTAGCGAGGTCTCTCCCAGGAATGAACGCGTGGAGAAGTCAGGCACTCACACGCTTTAAGGCTTCTGGGGTCATGAATGTCAAATCAAATCTTGTTATTTGAGTTCTTGTAGGAACCAGGGTGTTCTCCATTTGTGTGAAAGGGCCCAGGGCTTCACTCTTTGACATTGCCGCGCCAGCCATGCTGCTGATTTGTGCTATTTTCCTCTCCGAAATGAGATACAGAGTGTATGTTTCAGCGCCTCCCAGCTCCTTAAGTTTATCTTCCCAAAGGTAGTGGTCCCCCTTCCCGGTGGTGCTCAGGTGTGCAGGGCTCCGCACCCTGTGCACTGCTGTCACTTGCTCCTCAGTGTGATGTGACACAGGGTGGTAGGAGGGGGAAATATTTGACTTTGTTGGGTTAAAGGTTTTTATGGAATATTAAATTTTCATTCTCTATTCAGTTTGTTCAGTCCCTAAGTTGTGTTTGACCCTTTGCAACCCCATGGACTGCTGCACACCAGGCTTCCCTGTCCTTCACTATCTCCTGGAGTTTGCTCAAACTCAGGTCCATTGAATCGGTGATGCTATCCAACTATCTCATCCTCTGTTGCCCCTTCCTCCTCCTGCCCTCAGTCTTTTCCAGTGAGTCAGCTCTTCGCATCAGGTGGCCAAAGTATTGAAGCTTCAGCTTCAGTCCTTCCAATGGATACTCAGGGTTGATTTCTTTTAGGATTCATGGGTTTGATGATCTTGCAGTCCACGGGACTCTCAAGAGTCTTCTCCAGCACCACAATTTGAAAGCATCAATTCTTCAGCACTCAGCCTTCTCTATGGTTCAGCTCTCACATCTGTACATGAATACTGGAAAAACCATTGCTTTGACGATACGGACCTTTGTTGGCAAAGTGATGTCTCTGCTTTTTAATACAGTGTCTAGGTTTGTCATAGATTTCCTTCCAGGGAGCAAGTGTCTTTTAATTTCATGTCTCCAGTCATCATCCGCAGTGATTTTGGAGCCCAAGAAAAGAAAGTCTGTTACTGTTTCTACTTTTTCCCCATCTATTTGATGGGACCCGATGCCTTGATCTTGTTAGTTTTTTGAACATTGGGTTTTAAGCCACCATTTCACTTTCTCACCTCATCGGGAGGCTCTTTAGTTCCATCCTGAGTATGTCATAGGTACTTCATCATCTTACCCTTTGATCACATGTTCTCGGAAGCCCTTGGTCTGTGGTAGAAAGAACTTGGAGGCTTTGGAGTATTAGATTTTTCGTACTTAAATTGGTTCTATCAATACCTGTATGATCTTGTTCAAAGTGCTTAATCTCTGAGCCTCTGTTCATCTGTAAAATGGCGAGGAGACAGGAATATTCTTCTGCAAAGTTAAAAGAGTAGGCAGTCTGTAAGGGCCTCCCTGGTAACTCAGATGGTGAAGAATCTGCCTGCAATATAGGAGACCTGGGTTCAGTCCCTGGATTCGGATGATCCCCTGGAGTAGGAAATGGCAACCCACTCCAGTATTCTTGCCTGGAAAATCCCATGGACAGAGAAGCCTGGTGGGTTACAGTCCATGGCATTGCAAAAAGTCGGACACTACTGAGCAACTAACACTTCACTTCATAAGAAAATAGGCTGACTGCCTTGAAAGTCAGGTTATTTGCGTTATAAGCCACCTAAACCATTTATTGTTCAGTCACTCAGTCTTGTCTGACTCCTTGCATCCCCATCCCCATGGACTTTAGCCCGCCAGACCCCTCTGTCCATGCCATTCTCCGGGCAGGAATCCTGGAGTGGGGTGCCGGTAGATCTTCAGGGCATCTTCCCGACCCAGAGATTGACCCTGTGTCTCCTGCATTGGCAGGAGGATTCTTTACCACTGAGCCGCCAAGAAACTGACCACATTGGACATTTTAAAATTGTTAACTTTTGATCTTGTGATTCATTATTGGTTCTCGGTCGCCCTGTGTTTTCCTGGCATTTATATTTGGAGTCTGGGTCCGACTTTGCTCTTGTGTGTCTGGCACATCCCTGAGGGAACACTGATTTCTGCAGGTGTAGTTCAGAAGCTGTTTCCATCTTGCATTTGTTTTAGACATCATCTTGTGGAATGCTGTGGCTGCTCTCTGATCTGAATCCTGCTGTTTTTCACTGATTTTTTAAATGCTTATTTCCATTCTGATTATAGGATCATTAACCTTTTAAAGTTAGTGACTCTCCTTTGTCTTTTTTTTTTTTTCCCCCTTGGCTGCACCAAGTGGCTTGTGGGAGCTTACTTCCCCAACCAGGGATCAAACTCGGCCTCAGCAGTGAGAGCACCAAGTCTCACCACTGGACCACCAGGGGAATGCACCTCTATTAATATTTCTACCATTTTGAGGAAAATTTCCTAACCCTTTTTAGTCTCAGAGCACTGCTTCTTAATCTTTTAGAGTGAAGTCAGGTTGCCCATGGGTTGTGCTGACTTTAGACTCTGATTGAGTAGGTTGTGGGTGGAACCTGCCCAGAGTCTGCATTTGCTGATTTTGCTTTCAGGCTCGTTGAAGGAAGCCTGGGTAGCCAGACCCGTAGCATCAGGCTGACAGTTGGATATCTGTTGCATGAGATGGTCATTCTGTACCAGCCTCTGATTTGTATTAGGCTTGGAAAGGACAAGGTGTTTCAGCTTCAGGATTTTGTATTTCTATCTTGCAAAGTCAGAAATGACTCATTATTCAGATTCCTCAGCAGCAGTGATGCACTGAACTCACATGTTTACTTGAGCGGGTGGATTGCCCACTTGACCCTGGAGGTTAGAAAAGACATTCATGAACTGGATTGTTCACAGACTTGGTTTGTTTTTTTTTTTAACATTTATTTATTTGGCTGTCTCCAGGTCTCTGTTGTGGCACATGGGATCTCGTTCCCTCACCAGGGATAGAGCCCAGGTCCCCTGCACTGGGAGCTGGGCATCTCACCCACCGGGCCGCTAGGGAAGTCCCTGCCCACAGACGTGTTTCGTTTTGGCCATGCCTTGCAGAACCTTAGCTCCCCAACCAGGGATGGAGCCCAGGGCCACCATAGTGAAAGCACTGAGTCCTAACCACTGACCGCCAGGGAATTCCCATTCACAGACTAAATTTTTATCTTTTTTTTCATTTATTTGATTATTAGTTGAAGGCTAATTACTTTACAATATTGTAGTGGTTTTTGCCATACACTGACATGAATCAGCCATGGATTTACATGTGTTCCCCATCCCGATCCCCCCTCCTGCCTCCCTCCCCATCCCATCCCTCTGGGTCATCCCAGTGCACCAGCCCTGAGCACTTGTCTCATGCATCCAACCTGGGCTGGTGATCTGTTTCACCCTTGATAGTATACTTATTTCAGTGCTATTCTCTCAGATCATCCCACCCTCACCTTCTTCCATAGAGTCCAAAAGTCTGTTCTGTACATCTGTGTCTCTTTTTCTGTCTTGCATATAGGGTTTTCGTTACCATCTTTCTAAATTCCATATATATGCGTTAGTATACTGTATTGGTGTTTATCTTTCTGGCTTCACTCTGTATAATGGGCTCCAGTTTCATCCATCTCATTAGAACTGATTCAAATGAATTCTTTTTAATGGCTGAGTAATATTCCATTGTGTATATGTACCACAGCTTTCTTATCCATTCATCTGCTGATGGGCATCTAGGTTGCTTCCATGTCCTGGCTATTATAAACAGTGCTGCGATGAACATTGGGGTGCACGTGCCTCTTTCAAATCTGGTTTCCTCGGTGTGTATGCCCAGGAGTGGAATTGCTGGGTCATATGGCAGTTCTATTTCCAGTTTTTAAAGGAATCTCCACACTGTTCTCCATAGTGGCTGTACTAGTTTGCATTCCCACCAACAGTGTATGAGGGTTCCCTTTTCTCCACACCCTCTCCAGCATTTATTGCTTGTAGACTTTTGTATAGCAGCCATTCTGACTGGCGTGTAATGGTACCTCATTGAGGTTTTGATTTGCATTTCTCTGATAATGAGTGATGTTGAGCATCTTTTCATGTGTTCGTTAGCCATCTGTATGTCTTCTTTGGAGAGATGTCTGTTTAGATCTTTGACCCATTTTTTGATTGGGTCATTTATTTTTCTGGAATTGAGCTGCAGGAGTTGCTTGTATATTTTTGAGATTAATCTTGTCTGTTTCTTCATTTGCTATTATTTTCTCCCATTCTGAAGGCTGTCTTTTCGCCTTGCTTATAGTTTCCTTTGTTGTGCAAAAGCTTTTAAGTTTAATTAGGTCTCATTTGTTTATTTTTGCTTTTATTTCCCGTATTCTGGGAGGTGGGTCATAGAGGATCTTGCTATGATTTATGTCGGAGAGTGTTTTGCCTATGTTCTCCTCTAGGAGTTTTATAGTTTCTGGTCTCATATTTAGATCTTTAATCCATGTTGAGTTTATTTTTGTGTATGGTGTTAGAAAGTGTTCTAGTTTCATTCTTTTACAAGTGGTTGACCAGTTTTCCCAGCACCACTTGTTAAAGAGGTTGTCTTTTTTCCATTGTATCTCCTTACCTCCTTTGCACAGACTAACTCTTTAGTAAGCAGATGCCTGGAGTACTAGTCCCATCCCGCTGACTGCGTTGACCAGACGCCACTGCGCTGCATGAGCTGGGCGGCTGCATGTGGAGACCAGGTTTGCAGGTTTAACCCTGATGAGTGGATGTTAGGGGCACCGATGTGCTAAGTGCATCTGATACAAACTCAAGTTCCAAGTGCTAACTTGGACTCAGTAAACCCAAAAAGAAGTTTTAAAATTTAAATATTAAATAGTGTGTCTTCCTCTGCACCTGTTGAAGCCTTATTCTTTGGGTCTCAGCTTTAAATTTTGCTCCATCTGGAGAGCTTAGCTTGATCACGAGGCAGTTGGATCACCGTTTGGTTATAGTGTAATTTCCTAGTGCTTGTTAATTTGCTTTGCACTGTGCCGACTTAGCATAGATGCACCAGCAGTTGAGTGAGTGAGGAAGCCCTGTGAACAGTAGGGAGCTGAAGCCAGTTCACTCCCTCGGCTTAGAGCACTGGGGCGGAGCAGCTCCATCTGTTCGGGATCCTTCTCTGTGTTCTGTGGGCCAGACGTTCCTGGTTGCCGTGGGCCCTGCATTGGCATCTGGTGTGTCTCTTGTCAGCAAGGGGCTCTGTGGCTTATAGATGAGAAGTACGCTCATCTTGTGTCTTCTCTCTTTCCTGTTCTCAGCCCCTGGCGCATTGTGGACGACTGCGGTGGGGCCTTTACAATGGGAACCATAGGTGGTGGGATCTTCCAGGCAATCAAAGGCTTCCGCAATTCTCCAGTGGTAAGTGGGTGACCAGGCTCATGTTACCATCAGGTGATCGCTGTTTGCTAGTATCACTTGGGCCTGTCAGTGGGTTGGAAACGTGTTATTCTCCTTTTGTTTCCTTACAGGGAGTAAACCACAGACTAAGGGGGAGTTTGACAGCTGTTAAAACCAGGGCCCCGCAGCTGGGAGGTAAGCAGAGTGTTGCTGTTTGAGCTCCAAATGATTTTTTCCCTGTTTTTTTTTTTTTTTTCAGATGAAGCTCTGTTTTTTGTTTTTTGTCCCCTTTTCTTTTTTAGATTTTACGAGTTAGTAATTTTAGTTAGGTCTGAATAACTGCTTGTCACCTTCTGAGGTTCTTGGTTTATGATTAACTTTAACTTACATTGTTGCATCCAGTTGAAAATCTGTCCTTTGGAAGCTTGGTGGTGTTCTGGTTCTGTTTGCCTTTGTTTTATTTCCCCTCTTATCCAGAAGGAAAACAGTGTGTCCACAGCTTAGGTTTGTGAGTCTGGAGCGAGTGTCCAGGGTGACGTGAAGCTGACGCGGGTATGAGTGGAAGGGTTGGGACTCATGAGAGCTTGTTGGACATCTGTGCAGGAGTGGAGGGGATGATGTTCATCACGTTCTTTAGCTTGGTTACTCGGAAGCTGGGAGAAGAGGGGGCAGGAAAGCTGGACGCTGGTATTCACTTACAGAGACTGTCAGGCTGAAGGGACCACGCGCCACACAGAAGCGGAGCCTGCACCGAGCCTCCCCTTAGCCTGTGCGTCAGAAGAGATGGTCTCTCTCTGTCTTTATAGCATTTTTTCTCTTTAGAAGGTAGTAGCTGGACTATGTTGTTTATTGAGTGCTTGTCATGTGCTGAGCACTCCGAGTGTTTTATTATTTTATTTAGTCCTCATAGCAACACAGAGGTAAGTAATATTATCTCTGTTTTCCAACAGAGGAAATGGGGGCTCCAAGGTTGAAGTGATGGTGTATCTGTTTCCTGTTCTTCCTACTGTAATAGTTGGACACCTTGGAGAGTAAACGGCCTCATTTTCCTCTGACCTAGTGGTTACCACGTTGTTCAGGAGTGATGAGTAGTAAAGAAGCATACACGCCACCCTGACCTTTGGTAAACACAGAAGTCCTGCGGGTGTTAGCAGGCGTCTTGAGAGGCTGCTTCTGTCACGCGTTTTCAGTGAATAGAAGAACAGGTGACGTCACAGCCAGGATCAGCCTAAGGAGACGCGACAGCTGAGCGTGAGGTGGGGCCGAAAACAGACGTAAAAACTGAGGATCTGAGTTTAGTGCAGGTGGCAGTTAACAGTGCGCAATGTTTGGGACTCCCCGGTGGTCCAGGGTTAGGGGTCTGCCTGGCAGCGCAGGGGACATGGGCTCAACCCCTGGGCAGGGGTGCGTGGAGCGGCTGAGCCTGTCGCCACGGCTGCTGGAGCCCGTGTGTGTGCCCAGAGCCCAGACTGCAACAGGGGCGGCCACGACAGGAAGACCCCCGCACACAGCGGCTAGAGAGGAGACGCCCCCCCCCCCCCCGCACACAGCAGCTAGAGAGGCGACCCCACCACCAGAACTAGAGAGGAGCCCCCCCCCGCACACAGCAGCTAGAGAGGCGACCCCACCACCAGAACTAGAGAGGCTACCCCACCACCAAAAATAGAGAGGAGCCCCCCCACAACTCGAGAGGAGCCCCCCCCACTGGAACCGGAGAGGAGCCCTGCCACCACAACCAGAGAGAGCCCTCACCCAGCAAAGAAGACCCCGTGCAACCAAAATGAATTAATTAAAACCATTATTTAAAATAAATACAAGTACGGGCACGGCACGTACGAGTTTGATTCAGCGAGTGGAGGCGGAGCTCTTCAGTCGAGCTCCTGGGAAGGGCAGCATGGGAAAGCCATAGCTGTGTCCTGAAAGGTCTTCTGTTTCCAGAGCGGAACCGAGATGCTTTGACACGTCCCTGCTCTTCCCGCCCGTCCTCGCACCTGGACTCATCCCGAGTGTAGTCAGCCGTTCCTTCCCGTTGAGAACGGTACTTGGAAGCACAGTCTGGGCCCTAGTATCATTGCTGTGGGCTGTGGTTGCTCCCAGGCCTTCCTAGGAGCGTCCTGTGTATTTACTATATACACGTGGACCCTCTGACCACATACGTATGCACACAGTCTCGATCTGTTTTCTGTGTACCTGTGTGTATTAGGAATCAGGGGTTCACAGGGATAGCCCTGATTCCAGTCCAGGCCCACAGATTCCTCCTCCTTTCTCCCTTTGTATACCTTCCTCCCTGCCCGACACCCTTCCACACGGGCACACGAACCCCCGTGCCTGGGACTGTCCCTCCCGTGGACCCTGCTCACCTGCTCTGGCCGAGGCTGCCCTCTCGGGCCCCCGTCTTCGTGGACCAGTCTCCACTCTCATCAGCACCTGGCTCACCCCGGCAGGCATCCTTGGAGTGGAGTGGATGGGCCTTGTCTGAGTGTGGCCAGGTGACTGACACCCCTGGGCATCATCTCTCACAGGGCAGGGCTCCCCTGAGCCAGAAGGGGTGACTCAGTCCTGTCCTCTGGGGCGTCTGGTGCAGGGCCCGCAGTGAGAAGGCTGTGGCTCAGCTGACCCTGGTCAGCCCACCCTGCGTCCGGAGGTTTCAGAGGGTGCAGGATCCTGGCACGGGGGCTCCTCAGGTCGTTTTTCTTACTTTTTAAATTGTAGTAAATACAAGAACCCTTTCTGTGGAGTGCAAGCTGTGTGTTCATTTTAGAAGATTCGGAAAATAAAAGCACAAGGAAGTTGAATCGCCTGTTACCATCTGTCATCTGGAGATGCTGACAGTTGGACTCTTGGTGTCAGCTTTCTAGATTCTGTGTGCACTTCTACACTTGGATGTGTAGGTGCTTGTCATTTTTACAAACTAGTCACCATCTAGGAAGAGTTTAAGTGTGAAGTGATCTGACTGAGGGTTGCTTTTAGCTTCCTGCTTGAGGAGTAAAGGGTGGGGGGAGGGGAGGGTAACCTCCATTCCTCGCGGCTCCACAGCTCTCACCACTCAGATCACCCTTAGCTCTGAGCATGTCTTGACTCGTGACGCCGCAGAGCACCTGGGCATCTCCTGTGTTCTCATCGCTGATTCCACAGAGCTGGTGCTGAGTGGCTCTGACTGAAGGAAAGGAAGAGACGAAAGGGGAAGCTGCGTTAAAGGAGCGGAACAGGCGCACACGCTCTGCCGGAGCGGTGCTGAGCGTGCGGAGCCCAGTCTGCCGAGGCTTCGGGCCGTGGTTGATCTCTCACTGATGCGTACAGCCCAAGCTTTATTAAAAAGATAAGCATTCTGACTTGTTCAGTGCTTAGAGTGTGAGAGTTCTAAGAATGTAGTGAGTGTTGTTATTTAAGCTTGTTTTTGAATATAACGTTTAAAATGTGAGAACAATGAAATGTGTTTTGTTTCTTTAATAAAACAGGTAGCTTCGCTGTTTGGGGAGGCCTGTTCTCCATGATCGACTGCAGTATGGTTCAGGTCCGAGGGAAGGAAGACCCCTGGAACTCCATCACGAGCGGTGCCTTAACCGGAGCCATCCTGGCGGCAAGAAGTAAGACGCGTGTGTGCGTGTCGGCTGTCTGACCCTCAGCACGCCTGTAGCGGCTGAACCGAGCCTTGTGTCAGTCGGTTTAGTGTGGGTGCGAGTGTGAGCTGGGGAAAGTGGAAGTTACTTGGAACGTTGAGCGTCCGAGCGCCTGGGGCTCCGACCAGTAACCGCGTGGTCAGAGCAGCTCACGGTCTAGTTCTCCACCAACCGTGAGCGGGCCTCGCCCTCCTCAGTCTGCAGTGAGTCATGGGCCTGCTGCACAGCACTGTTCAGAGCGTAGAGCGCAGAACCTTCTGGGTCCCTGGGGTTAGGGCGGCCCAGAACGTCTCTGGGCCTGGGGGTGAGCTGAGGTCACCAGGTGGTGAGGGTGTGGGCTTTGTGGGTCGTGGCGCCTCTGTCACAAGCACTCAACTCTGCCGTCACAGCCAGAGAGCCGCTGCAGACCATGCATGAGTGCACATGCATGTTGTTCCAGTAAAGCTTTATTTATATAAACAGGCCATGAGCTGGATTTGACCTGTGGGCCCCAGGTGGTTGACCCCAGTGTTGGTCAGAGAGAAAGAGGGTTTGGGAATGGGGGCAGCAGGTGCCCTTGGACAAGTCTCTCCTTCAGCGAACCTGATGTTAACCTGCATCTCTGCTTCTATCTCTAACCAATGTCCTCAGACGGACCAGTGGCCATGGTCGGGTCGGCTGCCATGGGTGGCGTTCTCCTGGCTCTCATCGAAGGGGCTGGTATCTTGTTGACGCGCTTTGCCTCTGCCCAGTTTCCCAACGGTGAGTTGTCTGTTAGCACACAACTCAGGCATTTGGAATGAAACATATTCTGTCTGCTAAAATGTGGTCATTTGAGCTCCATGAACTATGGATGAATGTACCGAGCTTGGTGAGGATTGTGGTCACAGGGGCAGTTCTGGTCGAAAAGGTCGGTGTGGGTACAGTGGACTGTGTTCACAGGAACAGGATGCTCGCCGAGATGGCCTGCCTGGATCTTTGCTCACAGTTCTCAGGCCTTGTCAGTACTCACTCGCTTCTTGTAAGAGACTGCTGACCACTTCAGAGCTGTGTGAAGGGAGGCCTTGCAGATGCGGGGGAGTCACATGACCAGTCTGTGTCCTGTGCTGTGTGTGTGCATGCGTGTACGCTGGCCGCCGGGGCAGTGGGCACGTGGGTCTGGCACATGCACAGGCGAGTGGGGCGAGACCTGGTGGTGGCGCTTCTCGGGGGAAGGTGGCCCCTGGTTGGGGGCTCGCTCTAGAGCTGGCAGGGAGAGCTGTTTGAAGTTTGCGGTATGGCATGTTGCTGCCTGCCCCTCCCGTCCAGCGCCAGGGAACGTGCTGGGCAGTCAGCTGGGCCGCCAGCATCCATGACGTGGCCAGGCAGTGTCTGCTCCGCAGTCAACATGTGCGGGTTCTTGTAAATTAGAAAACTTGAGTTGTCTAAACAGGAATATTCCTTGACGTGGTAAGGCAGCAGAAAGACACAGGATCATTGGGGGATGGGGGTGAGGGTTGAAAGTTATTTTTGGAGCTTGGAAACTGTTTGGCACAGAGCTTGGAGCTGGTCACAGCTTCCAGTTCAGTTCGGTTTCCCTGATGCGGGGTCTTCTGGGGCAGGGCTCCCAGAGGCTTGCTCAGCACACCAGTGGGTGACCTAGGTGGACCCTGGCCCTCACACCTCCCTTCTGTTTTCAGCCATCACTTCTTAATACTCTGTTGTGATTTTGCTTTTGCTTTTCAGTTTAATGCTTTAGTGTGAAAGATTTCACATAAAACATCAGAAAAGTTGCATTTTGTCAGGAATTCGGAAATTGACATAATGAGAGCTCAGTCACACCATCTTGTGGGATCTAGCCTTGTTTCCCTGGCTTTAGGCTTCTGTCCTCAGAAGGAAGAGCTGAAGGAAATGCTTTTTATCTTAGATTGAGATGTTTAGAAAAAGCTCTGTGGGGGAGTGGAAGTGTTTGAAAAGTTAATTGTGTTTCCAATTAACTTACATGAAAAAGTTCTTAAAAAATAAAACTGTATCCAAATGGTAACAAGGGTTGTTTTTGGTTTATCTTTTAACCCAGTGTCTCCTCCAGCTTTCTGGAATGAACAGATATTTTAGGGTGAAGAAAGGCAATCACTGGAGTGAATGGAGCTCTAGAAAGAGCCCTCTTTCCTGCTTCCTCTTCCTCCCATCCTTCTTTAGTCTGCCTCAGTTTCCCTGAGGGAAGAAGGAGTGATCATTACCATTACAGGCTTTCTTTTAAAGAGCTATGTTTTACCTTGGGTCACAAGCCGTCCCATCCTTCGAAAGCACCAGCTGCTGTACTTAAAACCCGTGTAAGCTAGGAGCAGGCCTGTCTTCCCATTGCAGAACCTGCTTCTTACATGCATCATTGTATAGATTGTATTACTGAGTTCTCTTGAAACATGACTGAAGTACTTAAACTTTGTGAAAATAATTTTAAATAGCTACTGAAAAATTTCAGGAGGTGTGAGAGACTGGTGCGGTCTTGACATGGCAGTTTGCTCAGCAGATGCTTTAAACCTGGCGGGCTGCTCCTTGCTGTCATTAGTCCATCCGACTGCAGAGCATTTAGAGCTGTCCATCCAGGGGCGGCGGGCAGGGGGCGCTGCCTCTGCCGACCCCGACCCCGACCCCCCCCTCCCCCGCAGAGGCGGTCCCAGCTCCACAAACGCTCAGATTACAGCCTGAATGTGGCAGGATTTCTTTTTGAGTTGATTGATTTGCTCTCTACAGACTTGTTCCTTTAAACTACGTAGCATTTAGGTGGGGTTTAAATTCTCTCTGAACTGCAGGTCCTCCGTTTGCTGAAGACCCCTCCCAGTTGCCTTCAGCCCAGTTACCAGCCTCGCCCTTTGGGGAGTATCGACAATACCAGTAGGACTTCTCTCCCGGATTTCTACAGAGTGAGCTCAGTCTAAGGAAAGATGTCAGAAGATCAGGTTCAGTCTGGTTTTAAAACTGTGGGTGGGACAACTGTGGCCAAACAGGCTGTGAAGAGACTTTCAGCACCTTTTTGTATTTAAAAGAACATGGTTGGGGCGGGGGGTGGGATGGGGTGGGAATCTTAAAAGATAATACATTTATTTATTCACACTTGGATTGCATTTGTGATCAAAATAAATGTCTAAAATCCTTAGAAGGAAATACAGTGAGTGCTTAGAAGATGGAGGACCACACGGCAAGCAGCCAGGAAGCATGACTTTCCTTGGGGGCTTTTCTGCCTGGCTTTGTTCTGTTAGTCAAATAATAAAAAATGCCTGGAGATTGCTCTCTCTTTTAGGATGAGTTGTAGAGTTCTGCTTTTCATCCTCACATTCAGACAACGCAGAGTCCCCTGACAACCGCGTGGGTCGGTGCACTGCCGGACGGTGCACTGCACGTCCGCCCAGCCGGACGCCGCTCGGCCTCCCCCTGCAGGCACAGTACGTCCTGGCTCATGGGTGTCGGCGGCAAGACACGAACTCCTCACCTTCGAGGCTGCTGGGTCTCAATTCTTAATAATCAGCAAAGCTCCCTTCCAGTAAACCCAGCTCTGTGTCAGAGGCTCACGGAGCAAGTAATAGCGCTGGAGAAGACTGGTGTTTATTGCGTGCTGGAGAGTATATAAAATCCAGGTTTTGGTTTTTTTTTTTCAGGTTGTTTTTAATGTGTTGCAAGTTCTTGAACCTGATCTTTGTAAGGGGTGTCCTTTGGGGTCTGGTTGGGACTAGAAAACAGATTGGCTTTTCAGAATCGGCCGCTTTCCGGCTTTTCAGAATCGGCCGCTTTACTGGTGGTGGAAACGCCGAGTGTCCTCGAAGGCAGGCTGTGGCTCTCTCCCCGTTGCCTGCCTGGTGTGAAGGCCGCCTGGGTGTGGTGAGCTCAGTGCTACACATGTAGCAAGCATTTAATTTACTCCTGCGGGTTTGAGCTTTGTTTGTGTGGTAAAATACCCAGGAAGTAATGTTTCTTTTAACCATTTGTAAGTATACAATTTGGTGGAAAATAAATACAGTGTATCAACCACCTTTAGTATCCCAGAACTTCTGCAGCAGTAGGAGCAGAAACTGGTGGATGGTAACCACCCCCCACCCCACCCTGCTCCCCAGCTTCTGGTAACACAGGTCTGCTCTGCATCTCTGAGTTTGCCTCTTTTGGGGACCTCGTGTAAGTGGAACCTGTGGTGTTTGTCTTTTTGTGTTGCTCTTCATTTAGGTTCATTCATACTTTTTGACGGTTGAGTGATAATACTGCATTGTAGGCTGAGACGGCATTTTATTTCTCCATTCATCTGTTGACGGATGTTTGAATGATGCTGCTGTGGACACGGGCATACAGCTATCTGAGTCCCTGCTCTTGGTTCTTCGGGGTGTGTTCCTAGGAGTGGAATTGCTGTGGGTGTGGTAATTCTGTGTTCAGCTTCTGAGGAAGCGCCAGCCTTTCCCACGGTCACTGCACCGTGTGACATCCCCACCGGTGCACAAGGCCCACGGTCGCACAAGGCCCACGGTCACTGCGCCGTGTGACATCCCCACCGGTGCACAACGGTTCCGGTGTTCCCTGCACGCTTGCCAACATTCTTCTCTACAGCCAGGCAAGTAGCTGTGTCGTGTATCTCATTGTGGTTCTGACTTGTTTCTCCCGGTGGCTGACGATGCTGTACTTTTTAGCCACGTGTGAGTATCCGGGGTTTGTCTATCAGTCTGTAGCTGGTTTAACTTCCAGGTGTAAATGTAAGGAGGCTTCATCACAAGAACAGTTCAAAGCTGAGGGCAGGCAGAGAAGATGCTTTATGTTCTTAAGGTTCCCAAAACTCCTCTTAAATGGGGCATCAGTTTGGAAAGCAAGTCCTTTCTTGTGAATTCAGAGTCACTGAGGTTTGTGTGTGTGATGGTGGCATGTTTCCCTGTTTTACTGGTCAACTCAGCATCTCTGAAGCGATCCTTGGGTACGGATGAATTTTCTAGAAAGAGGGGTGGGGTGGAAGAGAAGAGTCTTGAAAAAGATGGAAGACCAGTTCTTTTTGATTCCACCACATGCAGGACGGCAGGTGGGAACCCAGAAAACTTCTAGTGGTTTCCCAGCCTCTTGCTTCCCTCGGACATGCCGTCTGCCCCAGACTTAGGAGGAGTTCTGTTCTTGGAAAGCCTGGCTGCCCCCTGCCCATCCCCTCACCTGCTGGAGCTTGCCCAGGGGTCAGTGGTTCCGTCTCGTGTGTCCACTGCGGAGATAGGGGGTGAGGAGGGAAGGAAAAGGAGGAAAGCAAGCTTCACTCCTCAGTTTTCTACTGGAAGCCTTGTACCATCATTCTCAGGCATGGGAGCGTGTCCTCAAGCACTGTGTCCCTCTGACCATCCATCGGTGGACACATCCGTGACCCGCCCATGTATCCTGCTGGCTGCTTCCTGATGATTTGGGTTTTTTCTCTTTCCCCTTCCTCCTTTTCCCCCAACATTTTTTTCAGTGAAAATAGCAAATCTGTAAAGTTGAGGTTTACACTAAACACATATATATACCCACCACCTAGATTCTATGGTTGACTTCACAATACTTTACCATTGCCTACCTGTTCCCCTATCCCCTGCTTTCTAATAAAGTTGAAGTTCATGAAATTCATTGATAAGTATTGTAAGATGTGATTATTTTAAAGTTTAGAGAATAGTAGAAACCAGGTAGGTTATAGATTCTAATATCTTAAAATACTGATTTGAAATGTTTAATAAATATTCTGAAACTAATTTTGGTGTATGAGAGCCCAGAGAGCCCAGAGTAAAAGGTAAAATCACCAAATTTGTTCTGATTACCAAGATAAACGTGGAAACAGACAGGAAGGAATTTTACTCTAGGTGTTTTTCTGGAATAATGCAGTCAGTTCCTCAGTTTCAAGGTTGAAACGCCCATCAGAAAGATCCCATCTGCTTCTCTCATTTTTCCTTAGTATCTTCCACTGTGTGTGACATTGGCATGAAATAGTGAATTTCTGAGTCAGGCTGGAACACGTGGGCACAGGACTGAAGCCCATCTGTTTCCGCACATGGGCCGGCTCCTCAGGCTGGCGCGGCCACTGCGCCCCCCTGTGGCGCGTGGTGGTAGCACATGGTGCCTCTAGCAGCCGGCGGTCTTAGAGCAAAAGGCCCCACCCAGGCCCGTGGGCCAGATTCACCTGCCGCCTTTCTGTGTGACCTATGAGCGAATAATGGACTTAAAGTTTTTATAATCGTTGAAAAAATAAAACACTGCCATGATGCATGGAAATGACATGAGGATCCCAGGTCCATAGCGGGCCCTGCGGGGCACAGCTGCACCATGCCTTCCCGTGGGCAGGGGCTGAGCTCACACAGACAGTGCAGTCTCTGACGGCATCAGAGACGCACAGGCCAGGAAATGGTTGGTTTTTTTGGCCTCTGGGCATGCAGGATCTCAAAGTCTTAACCCCTGGACAGCCAGGGAAGGCCCCATTTGCCCTTTACAGGAAAAAAGGTGCCAGCTCTGTCAGAGCAATTAAAAGTGAGAAAATTTATTCTTTCTGTCTATACTTATTACATTTCTAGCACACCTTTTCTTTGTGTGGACCCAAATTGGAAGTGGTCAGGCGGGAGATGGCAAGAGTGAACATAGACATTTTAGGAATTGGCGAACTAAAATGGACTGGAATGGGTGAATTTAACTCAGATGACCATTACATCTACTACTGTGGGCAGGAATCCCTTAGAGGAAATGGAGTAGCCACCATAGTCAACAAGAGTCCGAAAGGCAGTACTTGGATGCAAAGTGAAAAAGGACAGAATGATCTCTCTTCGTTTCCAAGGCAAATCATTCAGTATCACAGTAATCCAAGTCTATGCCCCGACCAGTAATGCTGAAGAAGCTGAAGTTGAATAGTTTTATGAAGACCTACAAGACCACCCAGGACTAATACCCCCAAAACAGGTCCTTTTCATTATAGGGGACTGGAATGCAAAAGCAGGAAGTCAAGAAATAGCTAAAATAACAGACAAATTTGGCCTTGGAGTACAGAATGAAGCAGAGCAAAGGCTAATGGAGTTTTGCCAAGAGAACACACTGGTCACAGCAAACACCCTCTTCCAACAACACAAGGAGAAGATTCTACACATGGACATCACCAGATGGTCAACACCGAAATCAGATTGATTATATTCTTTGTAGCCAAAGATGGAGAAGTTCTATACAGTCAGCAAAAACAAGACCGGCAGCTGACTATCACACAGACCATGAATTCCTTATTGCCAAATTCAGACTTAAGTTGAAGAAGGTAGGGAAAACCATTAGACCATTCAGGTATGACCTAAATCAAATTCCTTATGATTATACAGTGGAAATGACAAATAGATTCAAGGGATTAGATCTGATAGAGTATCTGAAGAACTATGGACAAAGGTTCGTGACATTGTGCAGGAGGCAGGGATCAAGACCATCCCCAAGGAAAAGAAATGCAAAAAGGCAAAATGGTTGTCTGAGGAGGGCTTACAAATAGCTGTGAAAAGAAGAGAAGTGAAATGAAGTTGCTCAGCCGTGTCCAACTCTTTATGACCCCATGGCCTGTAGCCTACCACACTCCTCTGTCATGGGATTTTCCAGCCAAGAGTACTGGAGTGGGTTGCCATCTCCTTCTCCAGAGGATCTTCCCGACCCAGGGATTGAACCCGGGTCTCCCACACTGTAGGCAGACGTTTTACTATCTGAGCCACCAGGGAAGTTCAATAGAAGAGAAGCAAAAGGCAAAGGAAAAAAGGAAAGATATTTCCATTTGAATGCAGAGCTCTAAAGAATAGCAAGGAGAGATGAGAGCCTTCCTCAGTGACCAATGCAGAGAAATCGAGGAAGACAATAGAATGGGAAAGACTAGAGATCTCTTCAAGAACAAGGGAACATTTCATGCAAAGATGGGCATAATAAAGGACAGAAATGGTATGGACCTAACAGAAGATATTAAGAAGAGGTGGCAAGAATACATAGAAGAACTATACAAAAAAGATGTTCATGACCCAGATAACCACGATGATGTGATCACTCACCTAGAGCCAGACATGGAATGTGAAGTCAAGTGGGCCTTAGGAAGCATCACTACAAGCAAAGCTAGTGGAGGTGATGGAATTCCAGTTGAGCTATTTCAAATCCTAAAAGATGATGCTGTGAAAGTGCTGCACTCAACATACCAGCAAATTTGGAAAACTCAGCAGTGCCACAAGACTGGAAAAGGTCAGTTTTCATTCCAGTCCCAAAGAAAGGCAATGCCAAAGAATGCTCAAACTACCGCACAACTGCACTCATCTCACACACTAGTAAAGTAATGCTCAAAATTCTCCAAGCCAGGCTTCAGCAATATGTGAACCATGAACTTCCAGATGTTCAAGCTGGTTTTAGAAAAGGCAGAGGAACCAGAGATTAAATTGCCAACATTCGCTGGATCATTGAAAAAGCAAGAGAGTTCCAAAAAAACATCTGCTTTATTGACTGTGCCAAAGCCTTTGACTGTGTGGACCACAACAAACTCTGGAAAATTCTTAAAGAGATAGGCATACCAGACCACCTGACCTGCCTCTTGAGAAATCTGTATGCAGGTCAGGAAGCAACAGTTAGAACTGGACATGGAACAACAGACTGGTTCCAAACAGGAAAAGGAGTATGTCAAGGCTGTATACTGTCACCCTGCTTATTTAACTTACATGCAGAGTACATCATGAGAAATGCTGGGCTGGATGAAGCACAGCTGGAATCAAGATTACCGGGAGAAATATCAATAACCTCAGATATGCAGATGACACCACCCTTATGGCAGAGAGTGAAGAAGAACTAAAGAGCCTCTTGATGAAAGTGAAAGAGGAGAGTGAAAAAGTTGGCTTAAAGCTCAACATTCAGAAAACTAAGATCATGGGATCTGGTCCCATCACTTCATGGCAAATAGATGGGGAAACAGTGACAGACTTTATTCTTTTGGACTTCAGAATCACTGCAGATAGTGACTGCAACCATAAAATTAAAAGACGCTTGCTCTTTGGAAGAAAAGTTATGACCAATCTAGACAGCATATTAAAAAGCAGAGACATTACTTTGCCAACAAATGTCTGTCTAGTCAAAGCTGTGGTTTTTCCAGTAGTCATGTATGGATGTGAGTTGGACTATACAGCTGAGCACCAAAGAATTGATGCTTTTGAACTGTGGTGTTGGAGACTATTGAGAATCCCTTGCACAGGTGTGACCCCCGGTCAGTAAACTTTGTAAGACCCCTACATGCCATACACTGCAGCCAGAAAATAAGACAATCTTATTTATCCCTAAATCTACTCTCCTCCTCATGATCCAAGGAACTTCGATGTCAGTCACCCTCTCCTTCTTTTTTTACCCTCTTGCATACATTTAATTAAGAAAAAAACATTTTGGTTGCGTCATGCGGCATACAGGATCCTAGCTGATGCAGTGGCTGGCATGTGCAGGCGCTCAACAAAAACGCCTTGTGTCATGAGATGGGTAAGTTGAAGGTAGATGTACTGAATGACTATCCTCAGGGCCACAGAAGAGTGGTTTTGTGAAGTTTTTGGATTTCACTAGGCCAGTAAGTTAAAAAAGAGAAGAAAGAAAAAAAGGAAGAAAACTGACTTTGATTTTATATGGAATTTCAAATATCTACTATAAGTATTTCAAAAAATAAGATGTATTTAACACTGCAGAAGTGGGAAGCACATACTAGGATACTATTTCCTTTATGGGAAACTCCCTATATTGTCTCTTAAAATTTCATTTCCTAAGGGGAAGATCCCCTGAGGAGGAAATGACAACCCACCCCAGTACTCTTGCCTGGAAAAGCCCATGAACAGAGGAGCCTGGCGAGCTGCCGTCCATAGGGTCACAAAGGTCAGACACGACTTCGCGACTAAACCACCATCACCACCACCACCACTACCAGAAGGAACCCCCCTGCCGGTGCAGAAGTAAGAGGCTTGGGTCCCATCTCCAGGTCAGGAAGATTCCCTGAAGGAGGGCATGGCAACACACTCCAGGATTCTTGCCTGAAGAATCCCAGGGACAGAGGAGCCTGACGAGCTGCAGTCTGTGGGGTCGCAGAGTGGGACATGACTTGGTATAGTTTCCAGTACAGCTGATGAGCGGCTCCTAGTCAGCCGGGCTCCTGGGAGGGTCACCGGCACAGCGAGCTGTCCCACACAGGAGCGGGGACACGCGGCCCACCAGCCGCCAGCCTCACAGCCGCCCTGCTGGTACCCACCCCTTGTCAGAAGGACGAAGGGCCACACGCTGGAGCCCCGATTGAGTTACCATGGCTCAAGAGATGTTGTAATTTCTCTTGTGTCCCAACTGCACAGAGAGGCGGGAAAGAGTCTCTTTTCTTGGGGAAGGTTTGCTGCAGAGCTTGCGAGCTCAAACCCGACCCC